AATAATTAATTTTGTCATGATATAGTGCAAATTGTTGCCCATAATAAGACAAATAATATGCATATTCTAAAATGTCACATAACTAGTCTTAGCTCAAATATATAAATAAATAATAATTAAATGATATTATGGATTAAAATTTAACTGCTAAGATTATTAGCCGATTTAATGGTGGATATAAGTAGTATGGAAGTCATGGTACTCATCAATAAAATTATCAAAATCGGTGACATAACTATAAACAAAATAAGGCAGGTCAATTTATAAAAATAATTTCCCTATTGAATCCAATGTGTTTTTCATTGCACTTACGATGTGGACACCGTGTATATTAAAATGTGTAATCGTAAGATTTTAATTTAAAGATTTTCACTACATTACTAGATTTTCTATGCTTTACGGTTGTACTCAAATTGTTTTATAAAAACATATTTGTTATTTGGATATCAATTACAAGTTGTCAAACATTTTGTTTAAGAATTTTATTTACGGATTCTTCCGATAAGTGTTTAAATAATATTTTACTCACTTTTCATTCACTATTCATTTTGTATATAATCTACCCATTGATGGCAATGAACATTATTGAGATCATTTAATAGGCTTTTACGTGATCTATGTGAGTGGCACAACGTTACCAAGGTAAAATGGATTAACCCAAATGTTATCATAATTTTTTCTGATAATAAACTATAAATACAATTACTTTTCTAAATATTTTATTAATGTAAAGTGTACACTATTTAAGTAAAATATCAGCCATACTGTGCAGTAGTGAATATCATGTCTGTCCCAACTTTAGGCTACTTTAAGCTGCGAGGCCTCGCACAGCCCATTCGACTGCTACTGAAATACACGGGAACTCCGTTTACGGACAAGTATTACGATGTCGACAGCGATTTGATTTCATTTCGGGACGAATGGTATACCGAGAAGTTTACGTTAGGACTGGACTTCCCTAACGTTCCCTATTATATCGATGCGAACGTAAAGCTCACACAAAGTATCGCTATTTTGCGATATTTGGGTCGAAAACACGGTTTAGTGGCCAGGGATGAGACCGGACTCGTGCGACAGGATCTCAGTGAACAGCAACTCGTGGACTACAGATCAGAGTTTGTGGAAATTCGTGACAAATTCAACGACATCGAGGAGTCAACTAAAGACAAGTTTATCACCGAAACACTTCCCCATTGGTTGGATCAGTTGTCAAAGTTCTTGGGCAGTCATCAGTGGTTTGTCGGACAGACACTAACATACGTCGACTTCTTGGGCTACGAAACACTCGATCGGTTCCGACTGTTGAGTGCAGAGACCCTTAAGAAGTACCACAATTTGGTTCAATATTTGGATCGATTTGAGAATTTGCCACAAATTAAGGCTTATATGAAGTCCAATGAGTTTATAAGTTGGCCACTGTTTGGACCACACGCTCATTGGGGGTATTATAAGTAATTCACTGAATATTATATATTCATTACTAAATTAAAGTAATAATAAAATGACAAATTCTAAACTAATTTACGATTTATGTATTATAGAGGTTTAAGCAAAATATTCAATAAAATTACAATAAATTAAATGTATCAATAAAGTGCAATTATCATTATTATGGAAAATTCATCATTTAAAACACTGTTAATATATTTTTGAAATGAATGAATTCTATAATAAAGTAACATTCAAAATATTATTCCTAATTATTAAATAATCATTAATTATAATTAAGGTTGTCATTTTACGCGTAATAAAATTTTAGTGTAATATTTTACTATATTTTACTATTTTAGTGTAATATTTAATGTAATATTTAATTATACTATTTACGGGCCGTCCGTGGGGGTTGAGGCTTGGGTCTCATTGCCCAAGAAGTGGACGTATGTTAGTGTCTGTCGACACACCACTGATGACCACTACTGATCCAATTGTCGGCAAAGGTTGTGGACTTTTGTCGCGTTAATGCTTTTGATATTATATTTAGTGTAATAAATGTGCAAAAATCTAATACCCCAATGACAATGACATTGATTATGCAATAATTTCTCATTTATCAGTACATCTATACCGCAAAACACAGTCTATTGACACTAAAAAATTACAATAAATTCTTAGCATTTGAAGGAAAATCCGGTGTATTTTGTGCCAACATTTTACACATAAATATACCAATTCTTGTCAATATAATTGACAATTCAAATAACTCAAACATTTAATACAATGTACACCACTTATAATCATGTTCATTATTATTATAAATATTTTTTAATTTATACAAAAAATAATTATATTACTTATTCTGTTTAATTAAACATAATTTTAAAGAAAATATTTGTCGTTCACAATACCGAGAGTTTACTGTGTGTTTGTGTTAATGAAATTAAAGCAACAATTATTTATTATATTAATAGTCAATATTATAAAAAAAAATTATTTGTATTTTTTAAATTCAAAAGTTAAGAACAAAAAAATCAATTAATTTCTAAAATAAAAAAATTGTATCAAAAAATCCAATTTAAAAAAAATTTAAATTCCTAATACTGTTACCATGGGTATTTTTTCAATACCCAGTTTATTTGACTTACTATTCAACAACTTTCGCTTTTACGCGAAAATATTTTTAGATTATATGCATGTATTTAGCAAGTTCATTTTGAAGGGTATTGAATGGCAACACCGGTATAAGGATCTGGATGTCGAGAGTCACACCGCGTACCGGGCGCTGAATAACATGGTCGCCCTACTCATACAGTTCCGCAGCGTATGCCTCAGCGACTTCAGGTGGTATTCGCCCAATAGGTTCGCCGACAAACTCAGACATAAACGGTCGGACGTGTCGGTGGCTGTGATTACCGGCGCTGATGATGATGTCGGCAAAGAGACCGCTATTAGTTTGGCTAAGTTAGGCGTTAAGGTACGTATCTATTAGTGATTCAATTACCAGGGTCATTATTAATGTGTACAAATTTATTGTGAGTTTAAGAAACTATATTTTATGTTTAGCTTAGAAATCAGAAAAAAAATATGATTACAGAAATACATAGTATAATACTGTAGATACAGAATATTCTATAAATTTTTATTTACATTAAGAATTGCACATATCTTGTAGACCAAAATGAGAAGGACCTCTGAAAAGTTGCTTTTATTTCTTCTTGAAACATTGCTTTTCAGTAAGTTTGAAATTTACTTATATTAAACCTTATAAATTTCAAACTTTACATAAAAGCAATGTTTCAAGAAAAAATAAAAGCAACTTTTCAAAGGTCCTTCTCATTTTGGTCTGTCAGATATTTTGATAATTAATTTGTTATTCGTATTTTCATCTGACTATTACTATAATTAGTGTAATCCTACCACGATTAGAGAATCTGCAGAATATTCTGTTAAGATTTTATGTAAAACTTTAAAAATATGATTATGATCTACAATTTTGTAACTTAAGTTATTAATTTGAGTAAAATTTTTACTAATTAATGACATGTCTGTCCACATATCAGGTAATTATGGGCGTAAACAGTGTAGAAGAGGGCCATAAGATTATAGATGAGCTTAAGACTGAAGACCAGGAGATGGTGTTTGACGTGACCTTATAAATTTCAAACTTTACATAAAAGCAATGTTTCAAGAAAAAATAAAAGCAACTTTTCAAAGGTCCTTCTCATTTTGGTCTGTCAGATATTTTGATAATTAATTTGTTATTCGTATTTTCAT